TCCTTTCTAATCTTGATCACTTGTAATATATTATGTTCTTATAAGAACACATGAATGGAGGAATATTGCAGCAGCCCAGCCCTCTCATACTAGGCATGTCCTGCTAAAGACAATTATGCGAAGCGTTTCGGAATAAAGTTGTCTAACTGTTGCCTATGTGTCTTACCTACCAACCTGTCGGTATTGTATACCATTTTGATGTTCATCTTGTCAGACACTGCAACACATGGCCTCTTGGTACAGAAAACACCTTGGACAACCCTTTCAAGTGAGAACTGTTGGATCTGAGAGGGACCTGACCTCTCAGTGGCTACATTCTCACTACTACTACTACTCTGCACCTCTCCTTCCGACAGTATTTAATGGCTGACTAAGCTCCATCTTGCATTCCTTAAGTACCCTGGAAAACAACTCATCGGGTCCCGGGGACTTATTTTGTTTCAGTTTGTCTATCTGTTTAATAACCATGTCCCTCGTGACAGTAATATTAGTTAACTTAAATTCATCAGGAACTAAATAATTGTTAATTACTGGAATCTCATTAACATCTTCCTGTGTAAAAACTGACAAAAAATAGTCATTAAATAAGGAACACATTTCCAGTTCATTATCCGTCAGCTGTCCATTCCCAGTTTTCAGAGGTCCTACTTTTTCCTTCACCTTCGTCCTATACACTTGAAAGAACCCCTTTGGATTAGTCTTTGATTCATTAGCAACTCTAATTTCATAGTCACGTTTAGCCTATCTAATCGCCTTTTTTACTTCTCTTTTAAGCTGAACATATTGGTCAGTAAGGTTAACCTCTCCTCTTCTGGGTATCTTTATTGAGGAAACGTTTCGCCACACAGTGGCTTCATCAGTCCATACATAGGAGAAACTTGAAGAACAGGAGGAGAATGAGGTAATCAGTCCCTCAACCTTGAGTCGATGTGTTCAGTCCATCAATCTTGAGTAGAATACGGCAGATGAGCGGAGAAGCAGCTTATAAACCGTATGGCAGGAGAGGTGCAGCAGTCATAGGTGGTGTCACATTTGTTCAATGTGGAAGTAGGTTGCGCCTATAAATTCCCCTTTTCTCCCCTAATAGATGCTTTAGACTCCTGTTAACCCATTTGGGATCGTTATTAGTAGACCTAATTTCTCTCTGGGGAATGTATATACTCTATGTATATATACTACAAGCTGTGAGGCTATTCAACACTATTCAGAAAATTAAAATGCAAAAATGAACTGTCTAACACGTTCAATGTAAACAAATGACCTGGAGGTTACCTGGAGGTTACCTGGAGGTTACCTGGAGGTTACCTGGAGGTTACCTGGAGGTTACCTGGAGGTTATTCCGGGGATCAACGCCCCCGCGGCCCGGTCCATGACCAGGCCTCCCGATGGATCAGGGCCTGATCAACTAGGCTGTTACTGTTGGCCGCACGCAGTCCGACGTACGAGCCACAGCCCGGTTGATCCGGCACTGACTTTAGGTATCTGTCCAGCTCTCTCTTGAAGGCAGCCAGGAGTTTATTGGTAATTCCCCTAATGCTTGATGGGAGGCTGTTGAACAGTTTTGGGCCCCGGACACTTATGACAGGTATTACCGGGTTTACTCTTTGCTTAGACCTGACTGATAAAAAATATAATTGATGTTTTATCAGCCTTGAGGAGGAAGTTATCTTTGAGACATGCATGAGTTACTTTTTAATGATCTGTTATCTTGGTTCATTAAGGAAGACTGTGGTAAAAAATAGACAAGTGGTATCAAGGAACATGGCAATAGAAGATGTGTTTTTAATACAATGTTTGGCTCAAGATTGGAGTTTTGAGACTCTCTGACCGCTGGTTCTAGCCCCGCCCGTGGTATGGTTTGTTTGCAATCGTGTCATTACGATTTGGTGAGTTACGTATTACCGCTGGATCACAAGTTTAGTGACCACCTATCGCTCTATAATTTTCAGAAGTTCCTTGTGAAGCAGGTGTCTCAAGGACATGTATACCGAGATCTTATTAGGAAAAAATGTTCCACTCAGTGAATCTTTATCAAAAGATCACTGTAGACGGTGGAAGAAGGGAACAAGTAGTTTGGGGAGATCAGTCCCTCAGGCTTGATGAAGCTGATGAAGATAACAGAGAAAGAAGACGTACTTCCTAGAGACAGTATTAAGTAACTTGAAGCTCTCACCGTGCGAAACATCGACCGTGTCTACATGTTAGCTTACTGCCTATCATTTTGAAACACTTCAGGTTGTCAGTCTTTCGCTCAAATCAACGTTTCACTCGACTCCACCTGAGCATTCACCTCCGCGAGACTAACACACATATTACGACACATCAACACAGACTAATGCAACACTGCGTGAAACACGTTACGTTAACACATTCCGTTTTAAAACAAGGATACTTATGAGACTTCTTCAGCACTGAGCCGCTAGTGGCGAAACGTGTCCTAAATTAGACACATGTGCAACTATTTGGGTATCTTTATTGAGGAAACGTTTCGCCACTCGGTGGCGAAATGGATTGATGGACTGACCACATCGACTCAAGGTTGAGGGCTGATTACCTCATTCTCCTCCTGTTCTTCAAGATTCTCCTTTGTATGGACTGATGAAGCCACAGTGTGGCGAAACGTTTCCTCAATAAAGATACCCAAGAGCTGCACATGTGTCTAATTTATCAACATGTCGGTTCTCTGAACCATTCATCTACAAACGTGTCCTCTATTAAATGTCCAGTGAACTGTACGTAAGTGTCCTTCTCCACATCCTGTCAGTATCACCAGACCATTTCTCACAATTTAACTGTATTTTCTTCGCCTGAAGCGATCGGTTTTCTTCAGTTACAGCATTTACGCCAGGCTTAGAGGAGGCTGCTAGGTAATTGGACACATATCCAACTAATTTGACATTTTATTGTGGCAATGGTTCAGTCTCCAGGAGCTTGACAGACAGCTATACGTTACACAATTACAAGCAATATTTATTGCATCTGTGTATATTCACCTAACATTTTGTCGGTAATTTTACCATTATTACTAAAGAAATCTTTTTATTTATATAGATCTTTATCTATAATGTGTTTTATTAAGCATCGTTAATGAAACGAATTTAAGGGGAAATGACTTTAAGGGGACTTTAAGGGGAAATGACTTTAAGGGGACTTTAAGGGGAAATGACTTTAAGGGAACTTTAAGGGAAAATGACTTTAAGGGGACTTTAAGGGAAAATGACTTTAAGGGGACTTTAAGGGAAAATGACTTTAAGGGGACTTTAAGGGAAAATTACTTTAAGGGGACTTTAAGGGAAAATGACTTTAAGGGGACTTTAAGGGTAAATGACTTTAAGGGGACTTTAAGGGTAAAGGACTCAATATTTCAATCATCCGGCTTTACCTGTTAGAAAATACACAAATAACCCGCACATGTTATACTTTAGGACGATGTTTCGGTCTGATATGGACCATTAGCAAGTCACTACTTAATGGTCCAAGTCGGTCCGATACGTCGTTATAAAGTTTCTTCTAGGGGGGGGGGTATCTGTGTTTTGTTCCAGATCTTCTGCGAGGAAGATAATTAACACGGGAGTAAAAACAAGATGAACAGATTACTCGTATTTCTGATCAGGTACCAAACACCTTATTACAAAGTTCTCCAAATTTGTGACATAGAAAGGAGACAAGATTATCAAGCAAGGAATTATTTTTCCTCGGAATGACTTAGCTGATCAAAAAATTAGTCTAACTCTTCTTAAGTTTGGTTTAGGGGTTAATTTAAACAACAGGTCATTTCCAGAGTGTAGCTGAGATGATATCAACGTAAGTGTTATCCAAGTCACGTTATAGCAACCTGTGTTCAGCTTCACTGAGTAAATTAACACAGTCGCTCTGTTGGTTTTAACTTCACAGTTCTCAGAACCCGGCTGAAGGTCAACGACCAGACGGCTGCTAGCGGGCGCTTCATTTTCCCGTTTATCTCTTAATTTTTATTTTTGTCAATGAATCGGCAGTATCCCACCAAGTCAGGGTGACCAAAAATGAAAAACTAAAGTTTCTCTCTTTAAATTTAGTAATTTATAGAGAAGAGGTTACTACCCCCTTGCTCCCGGCATTTTAGTTGCCTCTTACGACACGCATGGCTTACGGAGGAAGAATTCTGTTCCACTGTGTTTCATTTCTGGTCTGTTTTGAAAACGTCAGTTTTCTGAATTTACAGTTTTCACAGTACTCTTTTAATGTTTTAAATTTCTTGATACATTTAAGAGATATTTTTCGACTTATTTTTGCTTAGTAAGAATATAATAAAGTTTTCACTGGGCGAAATGTTGTTAAAATAGTGCGAAATGTTGTTAAAATAGGGCGAAATGTTGTTAGAATAAATCTTGAAGTGTTTTGTGGATGTTTACCTACACTGGTTCAGTAATATCGTTCTCTTGATAAATGAGACACTTGTACAACACTTCTTGAGTCTTTATTCTGGAAACGTTTCGCCAGACAGTGGATTCTTCAGTCCAGTACAGAGAGAGGTGGGAGATGAAGAGGAATTTGAGGTAATCAGTCCCTCAGCCTCAAACTCCTCCCTGTCTTCCACCTGTCTCTGCACTGGACTGAGGAAGTCACTGCCTGGCGAAACGTTTCTAAAATGAAGATATCCAAATGTTGCACAAGTGTCTTATTTATCACCTTTGTCACTGTTGTAAACTATTTATTCAGAATATTGTTCTGTGATGTACAGAAATAATAAATTATTTTTATACTCACACACACACACACACACACACATATATATATATACATATGTATAATATCAACACCTGCACTGAGATATTAATTAACATCGAAACAAGTTACAAGATGACAGAAATGCGCTTATGTGGAACCTTCGTTGTCAATTTTTCGCCCATGCAGTTTGCAATTTGATGACACCTCATGTGTGATCTCGTGAAATGTAATATATTGTTTGATATGTGTATATGTGTTTTCCACATATAACAGGTGTTCCCTCTTGCCCACAGGTGTTTCAAGCTAACGTAGACTCCCACCAGACTCGTCACAACTTCGTGGAACCTCCAGTAGAGGGTCGCTTCATCAGACTGCACGTCTTAGACTGGCACTCCCATCCGTCTCTCCGCTTCGAACTACTTGGCTGCCAAGGTCAGTCTGAGTACACATACATGTTCGCTGCGTCCGTGCTTTCATTCATATCTACGAGCTTATTTATATATCTACGGAGCTTTATTTATAGTACTACTTGACAGAGAAGTTCGCTTGGTAAAACGGTCCGTATTCACGTGTTTTCATGAGATATCATATATATAAACCTATCTTCATACTAAGATTAGGATACGCTGAGGAAATATATGTATTGCTATGATATTATATATATATATATATATATATATATATATATATATATATATATATATTATATATATATAATATATATGCACTAAGATAACAGTAAGATGAAGATATGGATTGAAAGATTCTATATATATTACAAAGAAAATTACAGTGCAGCAGTGACAGAATGTAAGCAATTTCTGGCTAAGTTCCTCCTTCCTGAGTGCTGACTTAGTGTTGCAAGTCCTTGAACTTGAGTAAGACGTGGAACACTCAAGATGTACCGTGAGGCTGTTCCTTCATGGGTCGTGGGTAAATTATACTGCGACCTGTTTAGTGGGTTCTGTTATTTGCTGATGGTTCCAGTGGTCGCCCCTGCGGCCTCGGTCTCGGATCAGGCTTCATTAATTATAAATTAGATATCATTCGCAACAAAGGAAACAGAGAAGACATATTCAAGAATTGAAAAAAAAAAAAACTATTAGAATATAACCTGGAGTGGAACAAACTGCAATACGTGACAATTGATGAAAGTAGAAACATGAAGAAAGGTTTCAGGAATATAAATTATTAAGTAACATGCAAGAAAATAAATATTAGTGTATATGAATGTAGGATTTTCTTGTCACCTTACCTGTTTATGAGAAGGAAAGAAAAGATAGCAATCATACATCAAGTACATCACTTCAGATACATCAAATACATCACTATACGGCGACCAAGACGCCCAGGTGTTGAGAAACCCCATCCCCTCCCCAAGTCTGACTGGCTAAATTTTGAGAGAGAGAGAAAAAAAAAAACAGTATCCATAGTAATTGTGTTAACGTTAGGTTAAGCCTGAGGCATCACACTACAAAAACAGGTGTTGATGGTTGCTTCCGGGGTTTTTATCACTGACGGAGATGACTGGGAAGTTTGATAGCCAGCTAAAACTAATTATCATACATAATAACATGTATGTAAATTACTTAGAATAACCAAAAAAAAAAAAAAGAAAATGAGACAAGTGACTTATTTTCACTGTGATCCTTGATTTCCATTGTTTTCTGTTTTTGGGTAGTGAATCATTCTTCAGTTTGCAAGAGCTAGTGGCTAACGCGACGGGCCGGAGTTTTGAGACTCTATGATCGCGGGTTCAATCCCGGCCGAGGGTATGGTTTGTTTGCAATCGTGTCATTACGATTTCTTGAGTCGAGTCGCGCTCAGTGTCACTCAGTGTAGCCGCAACTAAACATTTACAGGACACACTTCATCTGAGTCACTTACAATACATGAACTGGACCTGAGTAGCTGTGTTTTCTTTCCACTCAGTGTTTGGATGCGTGCAAGTGGATGTTTCTGCACCTGGCAGTTTCTGGATGACGTGCAAGTGGATGTGTCTGCACCTGCAGAGTCTGGATACTGCAAGTGGATGTGTCTGCACCTGACAGTGTCTGGATGCCTGCAAGTGGATGTTTCTGCACCCGGCAGTTTCTGGATGCGTGCAAGTGAATGTGTCTGCACATGGCAGTATTTGGATGCATGCAAGTGGATGTGTATGCACCTGGCAGTGTCTGGATGCGTGCAAGTGGATGTGTCTGCACCTAGCAGTGTCTAGATGCGTGCAAGTGGATGTGCCTGCACCTGGCAGTGTCTGGATCGTGCAAGTGGATGTATATGCACCAGGGAGTGTCTGGATGCGTACAAAGTGGATTGTCTGCACCTGGCAATGTCTAGATGCTGTGCAAGTGGATGTGTCTCACCTAGCAGTGTCTCGATGCGTGCAAGTGGAATGTGTCTGCACATGGGCAGTTCTGGATGCTGCAAGTGGATGTGTCTGCACCTGGCAGTGTCTGGATGCGTGCAAGTGGATGTGTCTCACCTGGCAGTGTCTGTATGACGTGCAAGTGGATGTGTCTGCACCTAGAAGTCTCTAGATGCGTGCAATGGATGTGCCTGCACCTACAGTGTCTGGATGCTGCAAGTGATGTGTCTGCACCCTGGCAGTGTCTGGATGCGTGCAAGTGGATTGTCTACACCTGGCAGTGTCTGGATACGTGCAAGTGGATGTGTCTGCACCTGCAGTGTCTGGATGCGTGCAAGTGGATGTGTCTGCACCTGGCAGTGTCTGGATGCGTGCAAGTGGATGTGTCTGCACCTGGCAGTGTCTGGATGCGTGCAAGCGGATGTGTCTGCACCTGGCAGTGTCTAGATGCGTGCAAGTGGATGTGTCTGCACCTGGCAGTGTCTGGATGCGCGCAGGTGGATGTGTCTGCACCTGGCAGTGTCTGGATGCGTGTAAGTGGATGTGTCTGCACCTGGCAGTGTCTGGATGCCTGCAAGTGGATGTGTCTGCACCTGGCAGTGTCTGGATGCGTACAAGTGGATGTGTCTGCACCTGGCAGTGTCTAGATACGTGCAAGTGGATGTGTCTGCACCTGGCAGTGTCTGGATACGTGCAAGTGGATGTATCTGCACCCGAGAGTGTCTGGATACGTGCAAGTGGATGTGTCTGCACCAGGCAGTGTCTAGATACGTGCAAGTGGATGTGTCTGCACCTGGCAGTGTCTGGATGCGTATAAGTGGATGTGTCTGCACCTGGCAGTGTCTGGATGCGTGCAAGTGGATGTGTCTGCACCTGGCAGTGTCTGGATGCGTGCAAGTGGATGTGTCTTCAACCGGCAGTATCTGGATGCGTGCAAGTGGATGTGTCTGCACCCAGCAGTGTCTGGATGCGTGCAAGTGGATATCTGCACCTGGCAGTGTCTGGATACGTGCAAGTGGATGTGTCTGCACCTGGCAGTGTCTGGATGCGTGCAAGTGGATGTGTCTGCACCAGCAGTGTCTGGATGCGTGCAAGTGGATGTGTCTGCACCTGGCAGTGTCTGGATGTGTTCAAGTGGATGTGCCTGCACCCAGCAGTGTCTGGATGCGTGCAAGTGGATGTGTCTGCACCCGGCAGTGTCTGGATGCGTGCAAGTGGATGTGTCTGCACCTGGCAGTGTCTGGATGCGTGCAAGTGGATGTGTCTGCACCTGGCAGTGTCTGGATGCGTGCTAGTGGATGTGTCTGCACCTGGCAGTGTCTGGATGTGCAAGTGGATGTGTCTGCACCTGGCAGTGTCTGGATGCGTTCAAGTGGATGTGTCTGCACCCGGCAGTGTCTGGATGCGTTCAAGTGGATGTGTCTGCACCTGGCAGTGTCTGGATGCATGCAAGTGGATGTGTCTGCACCTGGCAGCGTCTGGATGCGTGTTAGTGGATGTGTGTGCACCTGGCAGTGTCTGGATGCGTGCTAGTGGATGTGTCTGCACCTGGCAGTGTCTGGATGCGTGCAAGTGGATGTGTCTGCACCGCAGTGTCTGGATGCGTCAAGTGGATGTGTCTGCACCTGGCAGTGTCTGGATGCGTGCAAGTGGATGTGTCTGCACCTGGCAGTGTCTGGATGTGTTCAAGTGGATGTGCCTGCACCCAGCAGTGTCTGGATGCGTTCAAGTGGATGTGTCTGCACCCGGCAGTGTCTGGATGCTTGCTAATGGATGTGTCTGCACCTGGCAGTGTCTGGATGCGTGCAAGTGGATGTGTCTGCACCTGGCAGTGTCTGGATGCGTGCTAGTGGATGTGTCTGCACCTGGCAGTGTCTGGATGCGTTGCAAGTGGATGTGTCTGCACCTGCAGTGTCTGGATGCGTTCAAGTGGATGTGCCTGCACCCAGCAGTGTCTGGATGCGTTCAAGTGGATGTGTCTGCACCCGGCAGTGTCTGGATGCATGCAAGTGGATGTGTCTGCACCTGGCAGCGTCTGGATGCGTGTTAGTGGATGTGTGTGCACCTGGCAGTGTCTGGATGCGTGCTAGTGGATGTGTCTGCACGTGGCAGTGTCTGGATGTGTGAGTGGATGTGTCTGCACCTGGCAGTGTCTGGATGCGTCAAGTGATGTGTCTGCACCGGCAGTGTCGGATCTGCAAGTGATGTCTGCACCTGAGCACTGTCGATCTGCATTGTGTGGATGTGTCTGCACCTGGCAGTGTCTGATGACGTCTATGGATGTTCTGCACCTGGCATGTCTGGATGTGTGAGTGGATGTGTCTGCACCTGGCAGTGTCTGCACCTGGCAGTGTCTGCACCTGGCACTGTCTGCATCTGGCACTGTCTGCATCTGGCACTGTCTGCACCTGGTACTGTCTGCACCTGGTACTGTCTGCACCTGGCACTGTTGTACCTGGCACTGTCTACATCTGGCACTGTCTGCACCTGGCACTGTCTGCACCTGGCACTGTCTGCACCTGGCACTGTCTGTATTTGGCACTGTCTGCACTGGCACTGTCTGCACCCTGGCATGTCCCTGGATGCTGCATGGCACTGTCCTGCACTTCTGGCATGTCTGCACCTGGCACTGTCTGCCGCATCTGCACTGGCATGCATTGGCACTGCTGCATCTGGCACTGTCTGCACCTGGCACTGTCTGCATCTGGCACTGTCTGCATCTGGCACTGTCTGCACCTGGCACTGTCTGCACCTCTCACTGTGTGCATCTGGCACTGTCTGCATCTGGCACTGTCTGCATCTGGCATTCTGCTCTGGACTGTCTGCACCCTGGCATGTCTGCACCTGGCACTGTCTGCACCTCTGTGCATCTGACATGTCTGCATCTGTGTCTGCACCTGTCACTGTCTGCATCTGGCACTGTCTGCATCTGGCACTGTCTGCACCTGGCACTGTCTGCACATGGCACTGTCTGCACGTCTCACTGTCTGCATCTGGCACTGTGTTCATCTGGCACTGTGTGCATCTGGCACTGTCTGCACTGTCTGCACTGTCTGCTACTGGCACT